TTTGTACTTGCAAGAACATTAAAAAACATACTTGCTTTAAACTGTTTATACTGTCCAACTGAGCAATCTTGCTTTTATAAAATATACTGACTTTTTCATGTTTAATGTGTAAGATGCTCTTACATCTTCTGCATCATGCTTTTCTGCTGAAAATTGTGACTAACCTGTAATGTAGTTATGTCAGGGAAAGACCTCAATTATCTGTTACGACAAGCAGCTAAAAAGTATTTCAGGACCCTGTGCGGTGATCTCCAAACTTTAGGCATAAAATCCAAATCACTAGGCAAAAGACGTAGTCATTATGCAGGCAAAAATCCAAAACCCAAAGGTTCAGAATTAGTAAGGCAATGAGAACAACAGGCGAGGTACAGTAGGAGCTCCAGAGGAGACACCAATACCGAGCGCTGACTGAGGGTTTATGAGGAGTGGAGATTAGGGTGAGTTAAGTGAAGGACAGCTGAGACTGATTGATTAACACATGCTTTGTGGTATTAGTCAGTGCTGGGGACTGGTTAGAGCATTTTCTGGTAACAGGTTTCTGATTCCTGGTTATGACATGATCTTATTTTATTTAATATGTATTTATTTTGTGTTTCATTTGTTGAACAGTACAGTGTAGAGTAATGCATTGTACAGTAAATTGTTATGGCTATTGGATTGAAGTGTCTAAGAATTTAGAGATAGTCGTTAACATCTATCTGCTTAAAACATTCATGCAGATCTCAGAAGCTTTAAAGCAAGGAAGAAACTGAGGTGTATGCTGAGTTGTAGGGGTACAGAGACACACTGATCAAAGGAACTGTCTGGTTAATTAAGTTAGAGGTAAATCATTAAGAGTCATCAACAATCCAGGAAAGCAGTTTACAAAGACAGAGATAGAAGGAGACAAGGGGAAGAACACAGAAGAGGAAAAAGAAGACACCAGAGGCAAGACATGCTTGTCCAGATTACTGTTACCCATAAACACCAGATTCGAGTTATCTGAACCTTATTAAGAGAGTTTGCCATTCTGTTGTTTTTAGGAAACTCTGATTTTCTGGATAGAGAATCCCTTAGCTAAAAACAATCTCTCCTGGTTAGACGATACATTTTTTTTTAAATAAGGAGACAGTTCCATTCACAGATTCCCATTCCCTCAAGAAGGCAGCAGTTACTCAGCTACAGTTTCACATAAGTTCCCACCAACTCACTGGTA